TATTTGTTTTCTCAGCTGTGACAAAGACAGAGGAGAAGGAAAAGACCCCTATGTGGAAGTTGAATGCAAGGAAGAGCTGGTACAGTAAATTGATTTTTACTACACTTTACTGAGCAGCTATCCTGTTCTATACTTTAAAGATTGAAGACAGGGCATGGGCCAGATCCATCCCCTGCCATGAAACTCTATCTCTGGGTAAAGCTACACAGACTTGGCCTTTCGCTGAAGGCCACAGGGTGCAGATCCTGCAGAGCAAGATCCCTTTTAAAAGGAAAACCTGTCTTCTAAAGGCAAATTCCTTCACAAAGCCATGTTCCCCTGAGAAAGGTAATGCTTTGCAATGCTTACCCATGGCGTCACTGACTAAATCGCACATCTAATGACAAACAACAGGGCATAAGCATGAGTTCGAGGTAGAAACACTTACTCGAATTGGCACAGGTGAGGCAAATGAGGTCAGGATGCTCCACAAATCTGCAGTATTGGAGTCATTAACAACCCATAGCATTTTGATATAAACAAACACCCTTATTCCTCTACAAAGTTGTGACATTCTTTTCACGTTCACGAAAAGAAAAAAAAAATCTAACAACAATTGAACAAGTCCTTGGAGTGTGAATTCCACTACACACCCACATAAAGTTCACTCAGGGGCTACACAAATGAGACTGTCTCTGGAGAAGGTGATTGGCTTGAGATTGTAGTGGCAAGGGTTCCCACTGAGGGACGAATGCACAATGGGGCCCTGAGGGGCCTGCTGGAGAAGGGCGTTTAGCCTCCAAGTGGCCCCCTGTGGTAACTCTATCTCAGGGGTGGCAGGGAGCTCTCAGCTGGGGCTAAGTGGAGGTGTGTAAGTCAGTGTTCCTCCCCTCCGGCTGTACCACCTCCCCGAGCTGGGAAATAGAATTGGAGACTGATAGTTTTGGTTCTTTTCCTGCTTCCACTCTTTGCTGGGTAGGAGTACTTTGTGTCATATTGTCCCAGGTAACCTTGACGAGCAATATGACACGTAAAATTGGCACCTAGTTGGGAATTTTATCCCTCAGTGGGGAAGACTATGTAACTGTTACACAAACCTTCATGTACTGTACAGTGCAAGTTTTTCAAACATAATCACAATGTTTAGGGCACTTAAGTTATTATTTTTGCTGTTGACATTTTATTTTGGTATAGTTAAATATAAAAGCAACTACTTAGAATAAAAACATTGCTAAATTTCCAAGAAGTGGGACGCAATGTACAGAGATACTGTGAGACATTTTGATTTCTGTCTCAGCTCTGTAGCAGTTTGATTCCAGCTCACAGTGGGGACCAAAGGCCAGTAGTTTAACTGGATTGACCAGCTTTATCATATGTGTTACCTATGAATACCTCTGTATATTATGTTGTTACAGGTTGCTGAAGCTTGCAGCCCAATGTCGAACATCAGCTGTTGCAGTCAGTTGTCTCAAAAGTTTTGCTTCATTTGCCTTATGTCTATGATTATTTTGAGTTGCCAGCTTCTCCCTTTCTGACAGATGGGTTTCCCCTTGACTATCACAGCACACATTTGGTATGAGGCTGGTTATACAACATATTTACACTTAAATTTACACCTACATGAACTCTATTGTAATTTTTTGAATACACCTAAACAGTATGTTTTTGAACTGTAGTAGGAACCTGGTGCTCCATTCCCTTTCTGACATTGGTCAGTCTGGCTGTTTCACAGGTCAAAACTGATTCAAAATGAATGACTATCATTTTTTGTGTGACTTCAACATAAAAAGATGAAAATGGAGTCATTTAATAATTCACTCTAGTCTTACACCGGTCACTGAGGAATCAGCAGGCGTGACAAACAGCTTCCCAAAGGCTCTTGTAGTATGGTCATGCACCTTTTCAGTGGGCGCAGTCATCCAGATGAGGGGTCCAAGCCTACGGAGCCCCATCAGTGCTCCACCTGTGATCGTAACGATTATATCTCTCAACCTATGCAGTACTGCTTTTGCTTCGGAGTAAACAGGGTTTGACACTGTTGCTAAACTAATGTTTCATCAGACACTTGATCCCACCAGGAGAGTGAGAGATTCTCTAATGGGCTCTGACATGGCTATATACAAACATCACGCTTCATCTCCTACTCACAATAATGTATGTGAACTCATAGACATTACAGATTCAAAATTTATTTGTATCACCATAGTGAGAAAGGATGCTGTGACAATCTACATTTCACATACTGTACAGTATATGGTTTTCAGTTTGGGTATGAAAAATGATAGTTCAGATGGAAAAGAAAAACTATTACCACCGTGGGCTTTATACATCTGTGTGACATCATACTACTCAAGCTGTAAAATGAATATAAACCTAATGCATAAAAATATTACACAACATGCAGAAGAAATTACTTCAAAATCGAGACAAATTTCTTTTCTAGTACTGTGATTATGAATGTCTTCCTGTAAAAAACAACCTCTAACAAGAGTGGTAGTGGGTGGCTTGTACATAAAGCACAGGATTTTTACCCAGTGTGAGCAGCATTCAGTTTCGGTGTGCAGCCTAACTTTTTCACCTAACCAAGTTGTTTGTGTGCCTCAACATAATGAGATTGTGGCAGTTTCATAACTGTAAGATGTATGTTTATGACACTCCCCATAACAATGGCGTTCCAGTAAGCTTGCTGTCATAACCATGTGTTTATTACTGTTTCCAAAGTGGGACATATGTTGTTGATGCTGGCAAAGTTCTTGTCGTTCTGCCTGCCAATGTAAAGTAGGAGTGCTATTTCGGGAGATGCTCCTATGGGTCTTAGAGGGAAGGGACAAATTAACTTTTTTTTTTAACCTGCTGTATTTCCCCTAAAAGTGTGTATTGTGTATAGCAAGTGCCAATTGTGCTATCATTAACACCACAGTAGAGATTCAGGGAGAGAAAATGTTTAGTTTACAGGGACAGAGTCACTATACCCACTTTTAGGGGTAAATGCAGTGGGTAAAAAAAAAAAGAAGTTATCCTTTAATGACCTTAAGTCAAGTACAACATAATACAAACTAACACACTATAAAAAACCAAATGCCAATTTTTTATTTAGTTAATCGTGGTGTGCATTGGCAAGAGAGCAAAACTATGGAAACCCCTACACATTTGATGCTTCCTCTCAGAAATGCTCATAAATCTAATGCAGAATGGGATGAAGATCACAAGTTAAGTCAATAGACTGGCATCATGTCACTTCATCTTTCACTGTCTTTTCCCGATTTCTCTTAGTCTTTGCTATATCATTCCCTTTCACCCCTCTTATCTCATCATCTATCTTGTTGTCAGCTTTCTCCTGTTTTTTTTTATTTTTTTTACAATGCTAATAAATCTGTTCAGTGCTTTTACAATTGTGCATTGAGCATTGTTACTTTATGCCGTTAAACATCAGAGAAGCCAAAAAGCAGGACAATAAAAAATAATTTGTCTCATAGGAATGCTGCAAAGGTTGTTAGCTGCTGCCCTCAGATACCTGCTAACATCATTTTTTATCACTGGAAACATCCCCCTTACAAGGAAAAGTCTAACTTTGTAAAACACAAAAGTGATAAACCTCTCTAACTTCACTTTTTTCTGGCATAGACAGATTTACAGTAATAG